CGCTTTCCCAGCTTCTGTGATGCCCTGTGGTGCAAAGGTGATTGACACAGTTTTATGTCTCTTTAAATTGACCTGTCAAAAGACAGGGAGAGAGAAAGAGAAACACACGGCCATGGCGATGGGGGCTTGAGTGGCAGGGGAAACAGCAACACACACAACTGGAAGCTTAAGAGTGTGAAATGCTGTGATGAAGAGGGAGACACTGCCTGGAAAGTCAATAAAGAAGATAACAAAGGGAACAAACATGCAGGAGAGTTAATTGGCAAGATGGATCTCTGAGAAGAGCTCAGAAGCATCACACTTGGGACCCTTGCTACCCCTCCATCCCCCAGATTTCTTCCTCTCACCCTCCCAGTTGTGAAGGGAGATCCAATTAGTTTGATTTCGACCAAATCTTCGCACTGCCCCGGAGCCTGTGGGGAGAGGGGAAAAAAAATTTAAAAAAAAGTCAGAGTGGACACTCAGTCTCATCCCTGACTTCCTTTTCTAAATGCACACGAAGAGCAGCAGCTGACTTTCCTTGCAAGAGGAGACCACAAGGAAGGCTTATGAAGTCTACTTCAGATCAAGAGCCACAGAGATTTCCCCTCAAATTAGGTCAGATGGGACTGCATCTCTCACCATCCCCTGTCCAGGGAGCAGACCCTTGCAGTCAGCAACCCCACTGGTCCGGAACAGGGCTCCCCTCAGTTCACCTCCCGAACACGCACACAGAGCAGCTCTGTTCATTTGCCCCTACTCCTCACCCTTTGGCTTTGGAAGTTTTCTTGCTCGCCTGGCGCTGGTTGGTGCCGGAGGCTGGCTCCCTGAGCTCTGTTAGGTGCTGTTCTGGGTCTTGGGACGTGGCTGCTGCAGCGGCTGCTGTTGTCACTTTAATGGTCTTCTTCAGGTTTGCCACCTGCAACAGCAGAAGACCAAGAAGCAAGGAAGTTCCCAGGGTTTTTAGTTTGGTTTGTTTGGGTTTTTTTCGTTTGTCTAGTTAAGTTGTTTTTTTTAAAGCAAGCCCTGAAGTTAAGAGCTGCAAGCTCAGGCCAACAAAAGAGCGAACAGCTGTCCAAACCCCTGCACTGCAGAGCAGTGTTAAGCTGCTTTAGGACTCCTCTTCATGCATAACCCCCTGTGGGGTCTGGCCTTGGGAAAAGGCAAAGCGAACTTGAGCAAAGACTGTAACAACCACAGGGTACTAGTTCTAGTTATTTTAAAGTAAGGGTCACTGGCTGCTCCCTCCTTGGCCCACTCACCTCGCTCTCTATCTGCTGCTTAAGTGCCAACTGTTGCTCTTTATGTTGGTTGGCCCGGCTAACCTGCTCTTCAATGCCCGACAAGACAACCTCGCAGCCCTGGCACCTGGAGAGAAGATGTAGAACTGAACAGGCCAGGTAATTTACACAGCACAGAAAGAAACATGAAAGATGACAGATTTCAACTCTAGAGGCCAAAAAGATCGGAAGGTGACAGCTACGCCAGGCAGGGAAGACGCAGGAGCAGGAGTCCAATGTCATGACGTTATTACCTGGGAGGGGGACAAATAACACAGCAACACTAAGTTAGGAACTACAGATACATACTCAGAAAGCCTCCTGCCAGCAGCCAGGACTGTGCAAAGGTTGCTGCAGTCTCATCGCCCCTCCAGCAACAAACAGGGGAATTTGGAAATTTTTTTTTTAAAACTTCTTTCCATTGAAGTATGGGAAAGGGGATCATGTAGGCCACCTCACAACACTACCCCACAGCGACACACAGAGGACCCAGAGAAGCCACCAGACACTCCTGCAATCTTTTTTTTGGGTGTTAGTATTGGGGGCTTCCTCCTCACCACTCCTGCAATGTGCGGGTGATGGTGCTTAGCTCCTCCCTCCGGATGTCCCTCCCAATGCTGTAATCCACCTCCAGGCGCTGGTTCCGCTGATCCAAGCTCCCTCGCAGCACATCTGCATATACAGCCTCAATCACGAGGTCCTCCAGTTGCCGGACATTCTTCAGCTGTAACTGCTCCAGCAGCACTGAGTAGGGAATGCACTGTGGAAACATGATGGTAACTAGCATGAGGTAATCCCAGCGGAAGGAGAACTTGGGGAAAAATAGGGCCACTACCTTGATCTTGGCAGCCAGAGTGACAACTGACAGGTGCCTCAGTTTGTTCTTCTGAGCCTCTGTCAAGGGAGGAAGGTTTGCTGCTTCGGCTATTGTCAGGGGAAAGAACAGGGTAGAAGAATTTATGCCTCATTTTCCATTTCCCAGCCCTGCACAGAAGCATCTGCACCATACTCATTTCTTAAAGTGTCTACACAACAATCCCCCAAGTGATGCTTCATCTTGCCAAGCCATCCCCATTAATTCTCAGCTCAAAAGACCTTTTCTGAGCAGCCTTTCCTCCCCTCAGTCTCAACTCATCCCCTCTAGCTGCCCCATGCCTTATTTATGCAGGTCTGCACATCCCAGTGGGTACCTAAGTCTTTCCCCTCACCTCTCAAGATGTTCTTGGAAATTCCCCAGGCAACTGGTGGCATTAATTACTGTCAGGCACCCCAGTGGTCTCGGGACCGAACCACAATCGGGCGTCTGTCGGGCCGTAGTGAGTGAGGCACGGCTCTTGCCACAAAAGGGGGGGTTTGGGTGAGAGTCTATCACGGCTCAGGGCTCTGGCACGTTTTCCCGCACCGAGGGACCACCATCACCGGGAGGGGAAAGGGCCCCTGAACCGCGTCGTGCCCGCGCCGCCCCGGGGCCCGGCCTCACCCAGGTAGTCCGCGTAGGTGCCGTAGGCGAAGATGGTCAGGAGGCGGAAGACGGGGGAGAACTCGCTGTCAGCCAGCTGCGGGGACACACGGTCAGGCTCCGCCGCCCTCTGTCCC